CTGTGAAGGTCTTATGGTTAAGATGTTGGATGGAACTGAGAGTGGATATGAGCCCAGTAAGCGCAGTAGAAACTGGCTCAAGGTAAGTGCCACATCCAATATCCATCCAGCCAGAACTCTTGAATGCATGCTAACTGCAGATGACAGATCAAGAAGGATTATCTTTCAGGCGTGGGAGACTCCCTAGATCTCGTTGTTCTCGGTGCATACCACGGCAAGGGGAAGCGTACATCAGTCTACGGTGCCTTTCTCCTTGCTTGCTATAACCCCTCAACTGAGACCTACGAAACCGTCTGCAATATTGGCACTGGCTTTTCCGAACAAGTCCTGGAAGATCTGCATAAGCAGCTCACAGAGATCACGATCGACCGCCCCAAGCCTTTCTACTCGCACTCTAGCGGAGGACAGCATCAACCAGACGTCTGGTTTGAGCCCCGATATGTCTGGGAAGTCAAGACTGCCGATTTGACCCTCAGTCCCCGTTACAAGGCTGGGTGGAAGGAAGGCGTTGATCCTTCGGGCGAAAAGGGTATCAGTCTTCGTTTCCCCCGGTTCATCAAGATCCGTGATGACAAGAAGCCCGATGAGGCTACCTCGAGTCGTCAAGTCGCGGAAATGTATCGCAAGCAGGAGAGTGTCACGAAGAATAAGGGACCTTCAGTGGATGACGATTTCGAGTACTAGTTACTCCGTTTCCCTCTCTTGACACAATTTTTGGGCCCCATGCCTCTCGTCGCTGTATCAATAGTTCTCGTCTCAAGGGATATGATAACGGATAGCAGGAACGGCTTCTTGATTTATTTAGCGTGCATATACTTCAATCATTGTGGCTATATACCTTCGTCGTCTTGCTGTGACTGTCGAAGGATGAAAATCATTTACTGTGACACATCGTGCAATAGGTCTGTAAAATTATAATTATTGATAGATAGTACTACCCATATCGTCTTCCAAATGGATCGTATAGAAGAGTGTACACGGTATATTCAATTTCACCAGAGAGATGGTCCAGTTAATCATAAGCCTTCATAAATATTTCAGTAGAAAGATCCATTTACGACAGAGAAACGATCCACCAATTCTATATGAGATACGGGATAAATAAGAAATAACAGAACAATACATATCCGATACCGATCCATCCGTTTTTGTATAAAAACAAATCAAAGCATAGACTCCCTCATTGGTGTTATAGGTTCATCGGCAAAAGCTCTCAACAGACCTCTTTCCTCTAGTGCGCCGCCACCGGCGTGGTGGCCCGGTCCACCATGTCCCGCGTTGTGTCTCGACTCCTCGGCACCGTTGAGGACGTACCAGACATCTTTTTTGGTCAGGAGGCCCTGCAAGGCGCCGCGCTCTGAGAATAGAACGTAGCGAAGCCCGAGACGCTGGAAGTAGGTGACGACAAGATGGAGGGCGGTGCGAGAGGGAAGGGTGATGGGTGTGTGGTCCATCCAGGGACGCAGGTCAAGGGTGGTTCGCGGGTCGGCAAGCGGCTGGTGGGAGAAGTACGCTTCGGCGTCTGGGGGCAAGAAACGAGGCTCTTGCGTAGCGGCTCGCAAGTTGTATGCGAGTTCGGTGCGTGAGATATAGCCCAGCAGGGTAGCCTCGCGGGGGTCTGATATGATGGGGAATCCACGGTATGGGTGCATTTCCAGGATAGATTCAAGAGATGAAATGGTGTGTCCAGTTGCGGTGAGGACAACGAGCTCTTCAATGCGTGTCATGATTTGGGAGGTTGCGATGTCTGGAAGGGGCATTTCCTCAGTGTTGTCAAGGAACGGATATTCCTTGAGATGAATCCAGCTTTCATAAATACCTCTGCGTGAGAAAGCATCGCCAATCCATTTCGATATAACTACGGCAACCATGATGGGCAGCACGTAGGTCAAAGCACCAGTGAGCTCAAACACAATGACAACGATAGAAACTGTCATGCGGGTCACGCCGGCAAGGGCAGCAGCAGCTCCAACAATAGCATAAGTGCCCGGAATCACGCAACGGGTGTCCGGTGGACAGCTCTTGAAGAGATAGAATGATTTGTTGCTGTTGTACCACATCTCCATCAGGATGCCCACGGCACGACCAACGAGCGCTCCCACAGCCATGGACGGCAGGATGATACCAGCAGGTATTTGCAACCCAAAGGTGATGGCAGCAAGGAAGAAGGCGAGCAAAGCAGCCACGAAAAGGAGGAATATTGTAGATAATGAAGCAGCACCAGTGTTGCAAAGACCAACAGGGTCATCACGGATCTTGGAGCATTCGCGGAAGAGGTTCGAAACCAACTCGGAGGTTTGAACCTTCAGATAAAAGTTGGGGTAGTTGATAAGGGCGGAGACAAGAGCTACTACAAGAACTTGTAAGACCGGGCCGGGAAGCCAAGGAGTTGATTTCTTCCATCGCGCCACAGCCATGTTGAGCTTGATGAATAGCCCTCCGTAAATTCCCTGCAAGGGTCAGTTCTTCAGATCACAGAGGCATGAATGAGATGCGCAAGGTATACATACGCCGAAGATGCCCAGTATGGCGTAGGGGATGATTTCGAAATCCGTCCAGTCAACGCTATACTTGGCCTGATATAAGACCAGCTTGCCTGAACGGAACGGATCAAATGCCTGGAGACAGACTGCTGCCGTCATGGCACAGACGAAACTCTGCCACATGGTTTTATCCGGGAAATAGTATGAAAGAGTCTAATCGGAGTAAATATTCTGATCAAGTCCACAAGGTATTATCTTCAATGCTTACCTCGAGACTGAACAAGACGCCGCCGATAGGAGAGCCGAAAGCCACAGATATCCCCGAGGCTGCGGCTGCAGACAAGACTTCCCTCTTGCGCGCTAGAGAACCACATTAGGATACGGTATTCCTCATGAGCTATTATCGAACCGTATGATGCCTACCTTCATTGCCATTGAGACTTGGGAAAAACTTGATGAAAAGATTGGCACAACAGCATGCCACATGAACCAATGGGCCTTCCTTGCCTAACCACATGCCGGATGCACAAGCCAGGACCTAATTTAGAGTCAGCATGGCAATGATATTTGTCTTCAATGCGAGGGTCAGATAACTTACCAGACCGAGAGACTTGGTGATCAAAGTCCATGGCCCCAGCAACCGACGGATCACAAAACCACCCAAAACAGTCTTGATCTCGGGGATACCGCTATGCCTGGCCCATATGGAATAGTCCTGGACCAGTACAGAAGCAAGAACGGCAAAGGTTACCTAATTCAATCGTTCAGCACACTCACAGTCTCCAGTAATCACTTCAGTGTCAAGAGAGTGCTTACAGCGAGTATCGTGTAAAATACGTAGCCGACAATCCATGAACCTGCCCCCCCAGTGAGGCCAAACGTGGCGCCCCATGACCTCCAACCTGCGCAATCCGAAAGATAGTCATGGCCATAACAGCAGAAGGGCTTGCTTAAATAAAAGGTTCCTCCGTCAGGGCCAGTGGTGCAGTAGCCCTCCTTCAAGTCGCTCAACCAGTCGGAAGCAATGTCGATACAGGCAGCCACTGCGCCTACAGCAAGGCCCGTCAATACCACAACCACCCAGATCTGACTTGAGTCTAGAAAGTTTATGAGGTACCCAACCAGCCCGCCTGCGCCGGAGGCCAACCCGCGCAGCCGCAGTCGCTCCTTGTTGTACTCAAAAATCCAATCGATTGCCGTCAGATCTTCATACCCAACTCTCCTCCCTGGGCCCTCCATGTACCAGTCGAGGGGGGCATTGTCCTTGTCGCCCGAGCCGGGGCGATCGCTAGATGATGGCTGGCTTCCAGAACCACCTGCTAGCCCGGAGAGTATGCGGCCGGTGCTCGCGAGCAAAGACGAGTTTTGCTTGCGTTTAAACGAGACGGGGCCGCCCAGCTCGCCTCCTAGGGGGTCATCTTCAAGAACGTCATCATCTCTATCCTGGCCATCGTCGATCGGGTCGTCGCCGAGAAAGTCTAGTTCGTCGCGGTCGTCAACTGAGGTCGGGGTATGAGCGGCTGGAGAGTGCGATGAGGAAGAGGCTGAGGCTGCCAAGTCATTATGGGGTCTGGCAGGCATGGTTGTGCCAGTTATTCCATCTTTTTGCTGAGCTTCTTCCGGCGTTGCGAGGGTATTACTTCAACAGCTTCGGAATCTCGGTTTGCGACGTGCTCTGCGGGAGTGGGCGGTGTTGACGTCGGCTCGTTGGATGCCGCCAATTGATGATTATCCTATCTTCAGCTCTGGACAGCAGACAGGACAGAGCTAGAAGCACCAGCCAGTCTTGATTCGCTACGTCGCGCTTTGGTCTCGATTCGATTGGATGCCTTGCCTTAGTTAGTCCCGACCCTCCTGCAAGTCGCAACGTATGTAAGAGCTCTCCAGGGACTTTGAGAGCTATATTTAGCGCATAGATACCTGGCCCTGCAAGCTTCAGAGGCACGTCCACTAGGTGTAGATCAGGAGTGAATCCAGGCCATATCGAAACCGACATATGTATGAGACAGGATCAAACAGGTTTTTTCCCCGACCCAATTCGAGTATTTTCATGTCTCATAATTTACATCATTTGCTTCGCCCTCATACGTGCTAAACTCTCCAACTCTCCGGATTCGGAATATGGCCCAGATGAATCGCTGATCCACTATCCCCTGTTCCTTCCGCTATACGTACCTGCCTGTAAACCACCATCTAAACCCTGCGACACAGGTGCCAGGCTACTATTAGTGGACGTACCTTACCTAGCACGTTAAAATGCGGGAGGCTCCTACCAGATCGGCACGATGGGCTGCAATGTGATTAAAAACTATAGATTCTCCAGGCCTTTTCTATCACACTCACTACCCAGGAGCAAGCATAAATTTACAATCTTGTTTCCTAGTTGTATGAATCATCTGCGCCGAGAGAAAAGACATCTTTCCCCGGACCGACCCAGGTGAGCACTACGGCCAGCAGGTGCGGTTTTCTCACTTAGCGCAGGCTCTGCATTTCCCACCTTGAACGGTGCAACTCACCATGGAGCCCTCATCAACGAGCGAGGAGATTGGGAAGCCCCAGGATAGTGCTTCCCCGAGCGATCTTGTTGATCTCGTAAAGATTCGAGCTTTGCTCCAAGCAGAGGACGACACGAAAATATTCACGGGGCTTGCTCTTGTCAAGTCGCTGCTCGATAACTCGCAACAACTTCGAGATGACCAGGATGCAATTCAAAGTCTCTGGGGCAGTATTTCCGCCAAGTTCTTACGAAGGCTGATTCGGACCGGCTCTGCTTCACCCAACTCAAATGGAAAGGACATGTTAAACTTGGCCGTCTCTGTCATGCACACCTTTTCCGTTCTCTTGCCAGCAGATACCATTAATGAATCCAAGTTCACTCGCTGTATACCGCTTCTCATCCAAGCGGTTCTTAATAGGCAAGTTGCTCTAATTATATAATCCAGAAACTAGAATATCCCGAATTCTGCTCGAATGGCTAACCAACTTCTATGTGTAGTTCGCCGGAAATCATGGATAGTCTACTGAGGTTACTGTATACTTTGTCAAGTGTACCGCAAGGAGCCAAAGCCATTATTGAAGTCGAGGATCTGAGTCCGCTTACAGAGGCTGCGCCCTCTAGCCCTCTGGTTCTGGATATCATTCTTTATGCGTTTCTGAACACCATGGGTACTCCTGAAGGGAAGCAGACGCTTGTGTCCCGTATAAACGATACGATACAGAGCCTTGTATCCTCGTTCAAGGGCACCGACTCCGTCACACTTCTTGAATTCCTAGGCAAGCTATTGCGACAAGTCGACTCTTCGGTAAGTATTTCTTACTGTTTCCTTCCACAACAACTCTAATTCTAGGTGGATAGATATTTCCGCCAAACCCCCAGTGGCTGGGCACCGTCATAGGGTATATTCAAAATCTGGTGAGAAGCCGGCCCAACCCTGAAGCACGGTCTGCATATACCAATGCGACGGCTTCTTTGCTTCAAGTATATCCAGACGACGCCCCAAAGCTATTATTCACCGACGACAAGGATGCGGATAAGCCCCTCGGCTATTTACTGGTCCATCTGCTATTGATTGACATCCGGTCTTCAGCTCCCACCCTATTAGCGAAACTGAACAGTCCGGAATATCCAAAGATTTCCAGAAGGCTGGCTTCGGCATTCGATACCACCTCTATGTTTATCGGCTTTCTGGTTCGATCACTTGATGACGAATCTATGGGGTCCTTGGTCATGTCGCCTGACAGCCTTCTGAAGCTGCGCCAGACAATTTCAGAGACTATGTCGGTGTCGATAGAGTATCTTAGGGACAGGTGGGATGCATCAGTTGCAGGTGCCATGGGCCTTCATCCGGAAGCTAGAAGTGCCAGTACAGTGACATCAATGGGGACCAGGCAGACTCTGGCGTGGGACTCGATGAAAGATGCGGCGGAGCAAGACCCATTTATACTATCTGCCATCAGGGCATTGGCGTTGTGGCTGAGAGAAGACGAGAATGACTCTCTTAGAAAGGAAGCTACCGGTTTGACAGATATGTTTATGGATCTGTACACTTCGAAAACCTCCGGCGACCTAGATTTCCGGTCGCCTATTCTTGTTGCGCTTGAGCCGCTCGTCACAATCAAACGGGGCAGAGAGATCTTGTTGCAGAATGGCGGATGGAAGGTACTGACCCAAGACCTAACAAGCACCATACAAGAGCCACTAGTCCGTGAAGACGATCTAACACGAGGCATCGACGTCATTCGTGTTCTTCTCCTCGTCGTAGAGCTAGAGAGAGGTGGAGATTCTGAAGAGTGGATGGATCTTATTACAACTGTGGCAGCATGGGACTTGCCTGATGCATCACATAGCCCCAGCGTACAGGAGTTTGAGATTTCCTTGTTGCAGCTCTGCTGTGTCATTTTGACAAATGCAAGCTCTGGAAGAAGAAAGAGATACAAACATTCGATCAGCTCGATTGCCGGGCTTGCCAGCCAGTTGGAAAGAAGCACCAAACCAACCGATCCCTTGAGAGAGCAGTTGGATGATGTACTCGGCATGCTCTCAGAAGTGCGATAGCTCGTTCAAAAAAAGAAAAGAAAAAAAAATTTTGAAGTAATGGCTACCATGGAGTGCTACCGAATTAGATATACCCAAATAAAGAATAAATATCACCACCCTAGAAGCCGACATCAGAGTCCACCATCAATGCTCTATCAACATAGAGGGCGGCCAGCAGTCTGTCGCTGAACTTTATGTGCCATGTCTGCATTGGACTGCTTAGCTATACATGCTCCATTCTGAACCAGACAGACATCTTAATATTAAGTGCGGCGTAAGGTGTTATACTCGCTTTATTAATAAAAATAAATGATGTCAGCTACTTATAGACTAGAAGATTGCCGCATTTGAATGGCAGCACCCAAACTTATAGCGAAAATTCATGCTTTTGTGTGCACCACTGATTCCTCATGTAGCTTCAACAGCAGGAGTGGTGGCCTGCACTTCTGCCTCGACGGGTACCGGTTCCGCCTTGCTCTTCTGTAGGAACTTTGCTCGCCTTTTACGAGCCCGCCCTACCTCGATTTCTAGCCTGAGCATTTCAGCGTTGACGGTGACGAGTCGTGGTATGATTTGTTCCATAGCTTCGATAGCTAGGCTTTGGGCATTGCGGAGCGGCATTGGAGCAAGCAAACCAAACCAGAATAGAGGATCCTTGCGGACCGTACTGGTTGCTGGTTCCTCCTCTCCAGCCGGCGTTGCCTCTTTATTTTCTTCTTCGGCACTGTTCCCTTCAGCACTATTTTCGTCGCGTTCCTCTTTCCCCTTTTGAGGAGCAGCATCATCGCTCTCTTGTTCCTCGTCCCCGCTGCTCTGGCGATCTGGCTCAGTGGCGGGCGGCGCTTCGGAGTCGGGCTCAGTTGCAGAGCTGTTGGGTTTTTCTACATGGAAGCTTGGTGCGCTGTTGTCATCGCCATCATCGCCAACGGAAATCCTCAGAAGCCTAGATGCTTGCATGCGCTCGTCATACTGGTCCTGCCCGTAGCGCAGGCCGCGCTCGGCGGAGAAGTTGGCTCGGGCAATGTTCTGGAAGACGCCGGCCTGGAGCTTGGAGAGCTGAGCTCGTAGGCGGGTGTACTCGTCCAGAAACTCCAGGTAGCTCTCCAGGAGCGAGTCGATGCGTTTTTGGAAGTCGTCCATCCTTGCGCGGGATCCAATTGCCTGGTGCCAGGTGTGTTTGCTTGCTGAACTGCTTTGACGATGCTTGATTGAATGGTTGGCTGCCTGGATGCTTCGTGCTGAGTCAGCGGTAGGTACAAGCTTGTATAACCTGTAGCCTAAATCCATCCCAATCCAACACCGATATCGAGGTAGGGAGAGATCGAGGAATCATTTGATTTAACGTCTATTTTATTATATGCCTGCCAAAGTAAGGCTACTGAAGTTTATCCCCAATGAACCGATCAACTGCAGCCATGCCCTGCTCAGAGCCACTTCCAACGAGGCTCCTTGGGGCCATGATGTACCCATGCTGCGCACCAGGCACAATTTCTACAACGGCCTCACCTCCAGCAGCTAACCACTTTACACTCATGAACAACGTGTCATCAATCAGTACATCCCTAGTACCGCAGGTGAAGAGTACCGGGTAGAGTTTGCCCCGGAGGGGTTCCAGGTTAGTGTAGAGAGGGCTCACGTCCGGCCTGATGAGCGTCTCGTGCGTCCAGCCAGGCAGGAACTGGTCGCGGCAAAAGACCATGGCGTCGTAGTCAATGTTGAGACCTGACTCGTTCTGAGTCATGTTGAACCCAGACGGCATGAAGTTCAGCGAGAAGGCCCCAAAGTGCAGCATCAGCCCCTTGAGGGGGTAGTTGGAGAACCTCTCATCCGAGTGCTGGAGGAGATGAAGCCCGGTGAGCATGGACAGGTGGCCACCGGCCGAGTCTCCACCGATGAAGGTAAGAGGGGCCTTGTAGGTTGCCTCCGAGTTGAGGACGAGCCACTCTACGGCGTCGTAGCAGTCCTCGGGCCCGGCTGGGAAGGGATGCTCTGGGGCAAGCCTGTAGCCGATGGAGACGCATACCAGGCCGTGGCCGTCGGCCAGGCCCTGCAGGAATAGATCGGCAAAGGACTCGTCTGCTAGCGACCAGCCGCCCCCGTGGATGTGCATATAGACACCGCGAGTTGGTTTTCCATTTTGGGGTGTCAGGATGCGGATTGGGATGTTTCGTCCAGCCTCGCGGGAGGGAATGCTGGAGACGGTGGCCGATTCGACAAGAGTTGGCGGAGGTCTGACTGTCTCGCCGGCGAGGCGCATGCGGCGCATCTCTTTGGCACCAACAACTTGGATCTTGGGCATTCTTGATTCGACATCCTTCGCTTTGGCGTCAAAAGCCTTGGCTTCTTCTGTGATGGAAGATGGGTCAAAGACCCTTGGGTCAAAGGTGATCGGTCTTGGATTAGACATTATGGTAACTGGACGCTCTATGGCGTTGTGTAAGTTTGTCTAGTTTACTATCCAGAAGAAATTCGGGCCAGCATCCTTTCTGCGGAGAACAGAGGCAACAAGACCTTCTTAAACAAAAGAGCACATGGTCGGCTGTGGGGTTGAAGTTGTTCGGATGCAGCGCCGATTCCGACTATCCGGTGATGTTGGAAGTAGGCAAAGGCTGGGGTTTTGCGGGGGAAACAGTCTCTTTATTATCGAACAAGCATATAACTAACAGACTCCTCATCGGAGAAAAGTCTGTCGGGGCCGATGCTAGTTAAAGCCTTGTTGCGGGAATATTACAATTTGCTGTTGTTCTCGTCGCGCGATTCAGATAAACATTTAACAATAGATATATTCAAAATCCGTCAATATAAGGTAAGTAAACCATGCTCCCTTACTTTTGAATGTTCAGGGGGCATGAATTCGACCCAATCTCTTATATGCCGTTAAGATTGTGAGGTGATTAAACTTCGACGCAGGGCCACAACTAAGAACCGGCATCGTCATTTTAACTGGCCTCTCTATGAGCCCACAAACATATACAAGATTTCCTTTACACAGGAACTTTTATTGAAGAATCAAATGTTGTAATATATCACCTTTGCATCTAAATCTGTGATAGAGTCTGCTGTTTCATGGCCGCTATAGGGTAGCCACTGGAAGGTTATGCTGAGAACACACTGCTGACATAAGCTGCCCAGTAAATATCAATCTCAACCCCAAAGGCATTGTCTGCTTGTAAATAATTTGTCGAAACATTTTGTTCCACATTTATACTTCCATGTCGGGAGTTCTGAAGTGTAACGGAGGGTTCGGGCTCTCTAGACTATGCACGAAATCGAGAACATGTGGTTATAGCCCAAGAAAAATATGCTGGAGTCAACCATCTCCGGCATCCCTACACAACTCGGCTGGTTTGAAGCAACTCAGGAGACTACTGGCATTGAGAACCAGGCCCTACAGCACCTTAGTCCCAAAGGAGATCTTAGTCCCAAAGGCAAAACCCTCAGAGGACAAAAGCGTGCACCGTCTATCTTCTATTTGTTTTAAACCGGATTCTCAGACTCCAGCCCCGGTCACCAAGGAGGATAGGCCTTCGTTGAACGCTGCAGACAAGTTTTTCCACCAGCGCTATGCGTTCCTCTACTCGGCAAGCGAGCTCAAGAATCACCCCATCAATGTAATCATCCCGGAGATTGTGATCCTTGGACGTTCAAATGTGGGAAAATCGACCTTCATCAATGCCCTCCTCGGGCGCTCGGACGCTGCCAGGGTGAGCAAGAAGGCAGGCCATACATCGACAATGAACGTCTTTGGAATAGGATCGCCTGAATTCATCAACAAAGACCTTCTGGAGAAAGGCATGCGGCCTCCGAGACATGGCTTGCGGCTTCTGGACACCCCTGGGTATGGATTCAGGAGCCACACGGACTGGGGAGACACAATCATCAAGTATCTGAACAAGCGCAAGTCTCTTCGTGGCGCCGTTTTGCTCTACAACAGGCAAGGGGACGCACACGAATCCGACCGGAAGGTGCTGAAGGCATTGGCTGAGGCAAACTGCAAGACCCTCATTGTTCTCACGAAGGCCGATACCCTTGGGCCTAGTTGGGCTGAGAAGCTCAGCCAGAGCGTCGAATCCATTCGGCCCGAGCTGCGGAAACTGAGTGCGAGGCAAGAGAACGGATGGAAGGAAGGGACGGGCTGGGTACCAGATGTGTACGCCGTTTCTGCTGGCATGAGGTCCTCGACCAAGGGTCTTGGAACCGGCGGTGGAATTCCGGGTGTGCGCAAAGCCATTATGGATATGGCGGGCTACAATTTGCAGGAGAAGATCGAAGTGAAGCCCGAGAATATCACCTACGACGGAGACATCGTTTCTTTCGACGACATCAAGTGGAAATCGTGAGAGAGCCACCTGCGAGATTGATTGAATTCTTGTACGATACACAAAACGGAGCTCATGAACGGGTTGTCTGGGCCATATTTCGTCCGGCCTTCCTCGTCATGGGAGTTCTGCGCCTGATCTCGCCTACCATTTCGCTACGATGAGGACAATAGATCTGAATGCTTCAACCCACGCCGAAGCAAGGTCCAGCCGTGACTTGATAGCATTAATGACACCTCAAGAAGCTGAGGAGTGGACGACCAGCTACCCGCTTCTTCTTGAATTGTACAATACCCTCGCGGGATGCGGCATATGTCTCACCATCGCGAGCACAAATATTCGAAGATAGTCTTCTGTTTGATTTCATTTCACGCATTTGCATGGGGAAAGGCCGATAGACGAGCCACTTCATCATCCTTCTGTACTATTTTATTGGAAACGCAATTCATAATCTTCATCTATCGATATCCTTCAAATGGCTCCAAACTGTCCAAAATTTCCCACCCGCACTTAGGAGCAGGCAGGCAGGGCCTTGTCAGAGGTAGCAGTCTTGGCAAGCGCCACCTCTGCGGCGCGACGGCGAACGAGGCCGGGGAGCTCGACTCCCCCCGCGTTCTTCCACTTGGGGAGCTCCTCGGCGGCGACGGTGTTGGGGTTCTCGCCGGCGTTGAGGCGCTTGAGGAGGGTGGAGGACTTGACGGCGCCGCAGCCCATGTTGAAGGTCCAGCTGACGAAGGCGCCGTACTGGTTGGCGTTGAGGACGACGTTGGAGGTGGTGGCGAGGGTGATGCAGTTCTGGGCGGGCTGTTTTTTTTTGAGGGTTGGTTAGGACTTGCTGCGCTTGGATCACACTGCGAGACATGGAGTTCTGTATGGTGGGGAAACGTACAGTAAGGTCGGACTGGAGGAGCTTGCGGCCGTTGGCCTGGGAGAGGGGGATGGAGTAAGGGACGTCTGAGCACTTGGAATCAGAGCAGAGATGGCCGTAGCCCACGGTGGGATAGCCGGCAGGGTCCTTGTCTTTAAGGACGTGGCAACAGGTCAGTTGGTGATCTTGGATGAAGAATGAGGCGTGGTTTGGTAGGGTGCATACAGATATCGGCCCTGAAGCCTTCAAATTCCGTGATGAGGGAAACGGTGGCGGAGTTGACAGCAGGTCCGGTGCAAGCGGCCGAGACGGAGGTGAGGCCCAGAAGGGCGACGATGAAGGACTTGGCGACCATTTTTGCCTTGGATGTTCTAAGTGGGTGATGATGGATGGGTTGTTAACGGATTGGCTGATCGGATGTCTTGTGTAAGTGATGCTTAATGCGGATGGACTGGGCAAAGGAGCATTCGAGGCGGATCACCGGACTGGTTATATAGCCAAGCCATCATCTACAGCTAGCTACCAACTACATTGTACACCACAAACTGAAATGTCTCAATCTATCCATCATCATGCATATGAGTGCCGTCCAGCTTTCTCTCTTGGGAATGCGCTGCGAGCTGAAGAATGGTGCGGCACTTTGTGGGCTGTGCTCCACGTGGAAAGAGAACCTCTGTCATGCGATATGGGGGAGATGAAGCTTGATATAAGGGGAAGGCGGGAAAGCGCCAAGGATGCTGTAGGGCGCAGATCAGTGGGCGGGATCGTCAGACTGATGGACGGACGGGGGAAGCTGAGGCCGGATGGGCGATCCGGCGGTTACGGTCTTGGTTGAGAAGAGGAAGGAGATACATTGCGGCTGAGTGAATGGCAGCAGCCTGCTACGTAGTTGGTTGCACGGTGATATGTAGTACGCAGCTTAAAGAGTGGAGGAGGGCCAGGCTAAGCTGAAGAGGCATCACACACGGTGGCTCAAACAAAGTGCCGACGACGATGCCATGCAGGATGAGGTCGGGAGTGTGTTTCGGGCCCGTTTAGCGGCCCGCCACGTTTCTGGCCCATTGGCTTGGGTTCGAGAATGTCTCACCTGTCCTCATGCATTGACCACTGACGCATCTTCAGCCACATGTAGATCATGGGCTGGCCTGGGGACGGGATGTGGTACCTGCATGCCGAAGAAGGGTGAGATCTCCATAATGTGGCGATGCGGACCCGGCTCGTCCCTCATCAATTGAGGCAATGTGGATGATTTTCATGCAATCTTTAGACGACGCTCTCGATTTGTTTGATGTGATGGTCTTGGCATTGGGTATCATGAACTACGTCATAGCCTGGGACTGACATTGAAACCTGCAGGTCGTGGTACTACGACGACTCACCGGCTCGCCCTGGCAGCTTCAGCTTCAGAGGCCCTCCAATCCAGAGGGCCTGTGTGATTGTCGATGCCGCCGTGATCAACCCCAGCACCCAACATACCGTGGGCCATCCAGCCCTGTCCCTAATCAGGCCGCCCAATATGGGTCCGAGCATACACCCGCCCGAGAACGCCATGTTGTACAGCCCGTATGCCTGTGCGTAGGGCACGGCTGACATGTCGTCTTGCGTCGGATCCATGCCGTCGACTGCCGACCAGGAGATTTCCGCCATCAGCGGACCAAATACCAGGGCGATGGCCAGGCCGACGCCCACCAGCAGTCCGCACATCATGATCTTGTGGTTGAGACTATCCTCAGACACAAAGCGAAGACATATCAGGAATGGCGTGGCAATGATGAAGCCGCTTGTTGCGAGCCACTTGGGCCCGTACTTGTCATTCATGATCCCGATGAGTGGGCTGATGAAGCAGGGAGCCACCAACGGGAGGAAGGCCAGTCCTGCGCCGGTCGAGTCCCAGTGAAAGGTTGATTTGACAAAGAGCGGGAGCGTACTGTCAAACGACGTTTGGATGATGGCGTGGACTAGAGTGCCCCATAGAGCGGCGAGGAGTCTTGGTTTGCGCAGCAACCCGATCAGGGGTCCGACGACATGGTTGTGTTTGGAAGCCGGCGATGGTTGGTTATGATTGGGAGTCGCTTCCTCAGACATCTCCGTCATCGTGTTATCCTTACCAATGCGCTGGACAGCATCATCTCCCGTGGCCACTGATTTAGTAACAACATCCTCGATGGCACTAGATATCCCAGTAGTACTCTGTACAGGTGTCTTGTCTGTCCACCTCTTGGCTTCCTTGACCTCGATGATGGCGATCCGAAGTGCGATGTCTACAGCAAGAATGCCAAAACACATGGCGAATACGGAGTAGTAGCCACCCCGCTCGTAGACAAGACCGCCCAGCAAAGGCGCGAGGAGCACCCCCAAGCTGGTCGCCATGCCGACCCAGCCCGTTGCCATTCCAAGTTGGCTAGCATCCACCGAATCCACGACGAGGGCGAGGCCAACGGTCCAAGTGAGTGCGGCAGAGCAGCCTTGTAGCACGCGCCCGACCAGCAGCATGGCAATATTAGTGGCTAAGCAGAGGAACACAGTGGAACCGGTGAGAAATATCAGGCCAACCAGCATGGGAATCTTGCGGTTGCGGATCCGGTCCGCGAGATACCCCCAGACGGCTGTGGCACGAGATGAAAGGTCAACTGGGATTACTCAAGGTGTTGGGGGGTTTCATAGCACGTACGGGATGAAGCGAGGAGGGCAGCTCCATAGACAGCCAGGGATATGGAGATCCAGTACTGAACTGTTCGTCATGTCATGCATGTCTTAGCCTTGTGACATAACGGTTGCGGCTAAGGCCACTCAAGACATACCTTGATCTTCAGCGACACCGGCACGGCTAGACAAGGAAAAGGGTAGTACGGGGACAATGACCGCGTATAAGAAGACGTCCTTTCAAGCAAGAAGGTTAGGCATACCCACAACCATAAAAAAAAGGAGGTCATACAGTGAATGTGGCAAAGGAAGCTGTCGTGACAATGAGCCCGGCCGAAGAACGGATTTCAAGAAATACGGGCCGCTTTCCGCTCCGAAGGAGTGCGGCTCGAAGCGCCATTATTACTATGGTTGTTTGGTTGAAATCAAGGGCGCGGGTTCCAATCCATCCGAGCAGCTGCTGAATTGAGGCGATGGCGGCTCAATCGGAGTTCAAAGCCTCATTGTCTCTCTCTTGAGGAGTTGAGGAGTTTGATGGAACATCTTTTTGGTTTTGATGCATATATGTTCTAGATTCGGAGGCCGAGGACAGCGGATATCCACTTGCTGGTGGGCGGGTTACTGAGCTCTCTCTTTTTTACACATCTCTGGCCAGGGCATCTATGATGTATCGAACGAGGAAGACAATTTGCTTGTTGCCTTCTTCAACATAATGTTCACCACGAAGCGTATAATCTATGCAGCAGATTGTTCTCTAGGAGGACGAGTTGATGAGCCTAGTTTGGAGAGGGGTCTATTAGGTATCCCTAACAAACTGGGAAGAAGCGGATGATGGTCATACCGCTAGGTTGGTAGGTTGCTAGAGTAAAAATAGGACTACGTATTATTCCAATGATTCCTCAGGTTTGTGTGACCGATAATTGCACACAACAGGAGGAGCATGATAACCCTGCCTCTGAGGGAGATGGCGGTCACCAGTTTAGCAGTCCGAGATGCTGCGCGGCGGACGGCTTGACATGGTGGCTCTCATGAACGAATTGCGGAGCACCTCCCAAAGGGTTCCATTCCGACTCGGCTGATGCGCACTCTCCTGGAGAACCTGCAGCATATCTAGGCGATGGCCTTTGACTAGAAATCAAAAGAATGGAAACCACATCTCTTTATGATTCTCGATGGGCTGGACCGCATGAACGAGCAGGAGAGCACGTCCCTTGGTAATAATGAGCCCCTTTCACTTGAAGGGGCAGGTATCAGGTAGTATAGATTGCGAGCAGTTATCAACAGGGATGCTGTCTCCCAGCAGATGGGACGACCCTGCAGAATGAACACGTGAGTCGGGCGCCACGTGGAATTGCAGGTCTGGGCCTCTGCCCTGGGCAATTTGTCAATTCATTAAGGAGAACAGGTGAGCCCGGGCAAGAGGCCTGCTGTGATGGCTCCTCGCCAGCTGGGCAGCATCCTCGGGCTGTTGGGGAGGGAAGGGGATGGTATTCCAGATGCAACCTTGGGCAGGGGAGGAGTAAAATGATTAATATTGGTGGCTGCTGGGCTGAGACGCGGTGCGGCGACGGATGGCGGTTATCGAGCCCAGCCAGCGTCAGTGTGAGCGGTTGTGATAAGAGTGCCCATGCATGTTGGCTGTATCTTTGCACGCTCTTTCATGCGTCACAGCCTGAAATTGGAGTGAGGCTGCATTGTTAGCTCACTCCAGTGGCTACCTGCTCTGAGTATAGCTGGCAATTTAGCACCATTAGGGGGGGGATGAATGGGTTCTGTGGCCCCCAGCGGAGCGGGAAGAAGGAGCTCCAGATGGATGCCCGCCTGCTACATTCACCAGCAAACCGCCGGACTGGCCTATGGGCACCGACCGCCGGACATGCACCAACGATGTTCGCTGGTGATGGTCAACGCAGAGTCCGTTGTAGGCAGTTGATGTGCCGGGTGCCCGCCGAGATAGGGAGGCAGTGAGGTGAGATAGGCCAATCAGTCCAGAAACACTCGCCTTCGAGAAACGGACCTAGAAGAAAGTACGCGGGGCACTCGCACACCATCTCGGTTCACCAGCACACATCTATCCACCCATCCATCACTCCTCACCTCCTGCAACCGATTGCTGTGGCCCTATGCCTTTTCTCCATCTCGTGTGTTAATTATACCTCCCCATTTATGCTGTAGGTGCTTCCACTTGCTCAACAGACGACTCTGTCCAGTCGTTGCCCATGCTCACCCTGTGCCCCGCCTCAGCTCGGCCCCTCCCCCCCTTTCTTTTGGCATGTCTGTAGATAGATGTGTGTGTGTGTGATTGTTCACCTTCACATGTGCAAGCACTTGTTCGCTCGTGATGTGATTGACTGCTTGGATGCAAGCCTGCCTGCCATTTTGCCATTCATCCCACTAGTTGTCGAGGCCCACCCGGTTCCCGCGCTACGAGGGCAAAACTAGTACTGGTGCGTCGTAGCACGCAAATGATATTAACATGGAGCTTCGCACTGCTCTGAGACTGCGCTGGCGGTAATAAAAGGTTTTGCTGGATGGAGGCTCCCCGACGCGACTGACCAGCCAGAGCCCCCACCGCTGCCACTTGGCAGCCAATGTAATGGGACACAGGCGGCAGGGACAAGTGTCGGACAGCCCAAGGCGTGTTAGAACCAGCGCCAGAACCAGCCCGTCCAGTCCCAGCCTAAGCCCAAAAAGCCCCCCAGGCAGTTCTTG